TTATAGGCCAAAATTGGAAACTATTGATTTGATGACTAATTGATGAGTGGGTGGCCAACTCTTGACTTGGTGACAATCCTTATCTTCTCTTGTATGCCCAAAACATCATTGATAACATCAAAATTTAAACTAGACCTCCACATGAAAAAAATGTCTCAGCTTTTTAGAAAAAAAAATGGAGGTAATTTAAACTTCTAGAACTCTAGATATTGGCTAAACACTGAACAGTGTCTAGGTTGTAAAACAGATTCGGACTTTTTCGTTGTTGCTATAATTTGGACTTAAAATTTGTAGGCCTCCACATGAAATTTGTAGGCCTATGTCTTTCCTTTCCATCCATATAAAGTAGATCTAAATCTGAGATCTACAGCTCCAGATATGATCCAATTACCCAATAATGTTTCGATTTAGACTGCACCAACATTTCTTTTTTAAGTTTGGTCGTCTCTTTGTCCTTTCAATTTTAGTTCTTAAACTCATCAATTAATCCTTTCATTTATGTGATAGGCCTGCATTTAAGATGAATATTTACCACAAATTGAAGGTATCTTATATTATTAAATATATTATTATAAAACATGCTTTAGTTAAGGAGTTATTGATACTTCAAGTACAAAATGATGATATAAAACCTTGATAAAAATATACTTTTAAGTACTAATCACATTCCATCAATAAAATCACCCGTAAAAACCTTGATGACATTGCTTTGCTTTTTTTTCAAAATTCTAAATAATCCCTTGGTAATTCTGTCGATAGATACCAAAGAATTGTTTTGTCGGTAAATACAAACAGAATTACTGAGGGATTTACATCTGTCGGTAAATATCATAGTAAATTCCTGACAAAAAAATTTCACATGTAAGTTCGTTGGTTTTAGTTGAATTTCTGGTGATGGTTTATTTTAATTGTTAGAGCAGACTCTAAGTTATTATTGTGAACAATTTATTGCTAATTTTACAATCAAAATTGGAGTTGTGGTTTATAAATTTGTGAAGCAACTAAGTTTAATAACTGTGGCAGATCTACGTTATTAATTTTAGGGAGAACATTCAAATAAATTAAACATGAACTGCGGACAGTTATATTGTCGACCTTAACCAATTTATCTAGTTTTTAAGACTGCGATTGAATTAGATTATTAGTGCATACACTGTGATTATTTCTTGGTTATGGTTAGTTGTACCATGGATATGTTAACTAACCAATGTTAAGAAATGATAAAGTTCAGAATATAAATTGATGTTTTGTTTCAATGATCAATTCTAATTTTCATAAGTGAATGTTTACTTGAAACCAAGGTTTATTCTCTTGATAAATTTTTTATTTATTTAATTTCACTTAATTATTTAATTTTTCTTTAGTTTAGGTACTCTTGAAAACCCCCCTCAAATTGCATAATGTCTAATATAAAAATTTCAGTTAACATTTTCTTGTGGGATCGATCCCTTACTTACTCTGTACTATCTTATTTATTTAAGTTAAAATAAATAATTATTTATTTGCTCTATACTATCTTATTTATTTAAGTTAAAATAATTAATTTATATAACCACGAAATCACAACATGAATCTTTCTAGGCTGGCTAGCTAGTTCTTATGGTCTTAATTTATAAAAAAATTCGACAGCTATCTAGCTAGCGGGTGCAACTTCACTAATTAATCCGTGTTCAAGATGTGTCTAAACCGTGTTTACATGATGGATGTGTTTATTTATATATAGGGGCTGGGCATAATAGTTTCAGCTATTTTTAAGAGCACCCTTTCTTCCCTCCAATTCTCTGTTGATTCAAGCAGCTAAGGAGATCCATGCATGGATGGATGGATGCATGCCTGCCTGCCTGCCTGCGAAACAAAAGAAATTGAAAACAACAAAAGAAAAGAGAAGAAAGAAAACTCTGCAACAGCTGATCTAGCTCATCGTTTGGAAGCTGCAAGGCAGTTCTAATTATTATATGTCGATCGTTGGTCTAAAAACATGGTTGATTATAAGCTATTTAAAGCAAGCATTTGATAAAAAAACATTGCTTGCTGGCATGGAGTCAACCATGCGCGAAGCTGAGACAGGCGTGAAAACGAGGAGAAATTGTTGGCATGGAGTCAACCAGGCGCAAGGTTGAGACAGGCGTGAAAAAAGAACAGAAAATAGTTGGCATGTATATGAGCACCACAGGGTCTCGTTTCGAGACCATTTATTCTCCTTGTTAGAGACTAATCGCCAGTCAGTCAATATTTGTTGCTGTGCATGTACTGTCAACCATTAGTACAGAATGGTGTTCCTTTCTCTACGCTTCTAATTTTAGATCTCCCAAGTTATTGGATAGTATTTAAGCATGCCTACAACGTCAAACCAACGTGTTCAATTCATAAACCAAACACAAGCTATGCAGATAGCTCAAAAGTTCACCTAGCTAGGTTCAATTTTTTCTGGTCTATTTCGGTCTGAACCCATTAGAAGATTTACGAACCCACCGCGCCCAGTGGTTCAACCATAGACCTTGATCTATAACGGACCTAGGACGTCCAGGACTACTTTTGGTCATAACTTGTTAACATTCATAATATATTACATACAAAGAAGATGGCAGGGGGTAAGGCCATGCTGATCTTTGTTTTTACTCTTGCAACATTGATTCCAAGCCTGCTGGCAGACCTTGGCATTTTCGACGATGTGTGGCGAAAACGAGCGGAGGAAGCTAAGAAGATGACATTGGAAGCCTACGTACCCGACCCGGAAGAGGCAACCGATGCCTTCAACGTTGAAGTTAACAAGTGAATTCCCGACATCATTTTCTCTATTTCATTATTGATTATCAGTACACAATGTATATATCACCATTTATTAATTTATTTTTTCTCTAAGAAGCAAGCACCTAGATCGCATAAGATAGATAGGAACTTGCTACGCTAACGTTTACGCTCGACCATATTTTTTGTTACAGCATGCAGAATTAATTTACATGGCACATTTATGAAATATTATAAAGATTTTAATAATCTTTTTTCCTTTTGCTTTTATTTAATTGGGGGAAGATACTCTCTTGCAAAGAATAGCAGCAGCCTTTATGGTGCTTTTGGGAGCACAAACATCACTAATTTGGACCTTGATGATATTGATGATAACGATAACGATGCCGATTTTGAACAGTTCGCTAACAGCACTAGAAGGAACCTGAGGCAAGGGAGGAAAAAATACGCAGGTCCATGCCAGGTGACCAATCCAATTGACAGGTGCTGGAGGTGCCAAAGGAACTGGGCAAAAAACCGTAAGCAGTTAGCAAAATGTGCGCTTGGTTTTGGGCGTAGGACTACTGGAGGAATGGCCGGAAGGATATATGTTGTGACAGATAGCTCGGACAACAATGTTATGAAGCCAAAACCAGGGACTTTGCGTCATGCTGTGATCCAAAAGGAGCCATTGTGGATCATATTTTCAAAGAACATGAACATTAAGTTGTCAAAAGAGTTGATAATGTCTAGCCATAAGACGATTGATGGGCGCGGGCACCATGTACACATCTCTTATGGGGCTGGCATTACAATACAATTCATCCATAACGTAATCATTCATGGGATTCGCATTCATCACATTATTGCTACTAGCGGTGGGAATATTAGGGACTCCGTGGACCATTATGGAATCAGGACCAACAGTGATGGAGATGGAATTTCCATCTTCGGCTCCACCGATGTCTGGATCGATCACGTTTCCATGTCTCGCTGCACGGATGGACTCATAGATGCAATTATGGGATCCACTGCAATTACCATTTCCAATTGCCATTTCACCCACCACAATGATGTAAGCTACAATATCATTTCTTATTTAAAACTTAAATATAATTTTTCTTCTTATTTGTTGCAGTGAGATGACGATTTCATATATATATATATATATATTGAGAATTGCAGGCCATTTTGTTGGGAGCAAGTGATAGCTACTCAGGCGATCATCTTATGCAAGTCACAGTTGCATTCAACCATTTTGGCCAGGGGCTTGTACAGAGAATGCCAAGATGCAGATGGGGTTTCTTCCATGTTGTTAACAATGACTACACTCATTGGCGACTGTATGCTATTGGTGGCAGCAAACATCCTACCATTATCAGCCAGGGTAACCGCTTCATCGCACCACCTGAGAGTCATCTAAAACAGGTAAACAAAACAAGATCATGCATTACATTAATTAAATCCTATATATAATACGATAAATACATGTTTTGATGATACCTGCAAATTAAATGCAGGTGACCAAGAGGGACTATGCAACGAAGGGAGAATGGAGTAAATGGACATGGAGATCAGAGAACGATCTAATGATGAATGGAGCCTTCTTTGTTCAATCTGGCCAGCCGAGAACCAAGAAACCGAACAGGAAGTTCATGATCAAAGCCAAACCCGGTGCAGTTGCTACAAGGATGACTCGCTTTGCTGGGGCACTTGATTGCAAACCAGGTAGAGAATGCTAGAAAGATCAAGTCCCATGGTAATCTGTGGAACCTTGAACCTCACGAACAAGGACATGTGAAGGAGAACAATTTTAACGTTGTTGCTGTTATCAATTTGCGTGTTTGTTGGGAGGAGAAATTGGAATCGGAGGGCAAAATACGAAACCAAAAAATGTGAGCATTACAATTAATTATTAATGTACGACGTTGTATTGTCTGTACAACTTTCTTCCTTTTCTTATTTACTCAATGAGATCAGAAACCAAAATATTAATACAATTAATCAGTCTAATTGAATTGAATTGACTAAGTTGTATGAATATAAAAGTAAAATCTTGATCAAATCTTTTTTCATTGAAGTTTATTTGCCAAATTGATGCAAATTCATGGACATTTTGGGAGGTTATTCCAAGTTCATGTGATTAAACCACTAAAACAGGCAAATTCTAGACTACATACATTAAAATTAGAGAATATTAGCTAGCTGCTCTCCCCTCCCCTTAATGCTAGGTTTTAAGTGTCGTTGATTTTGTCTTTTTGGACCATTTAAAGATAGAGAATTCGTCAGTTCTTTCACTTTAGCTTTTCACTCTATTTCTTTTTTATATTTAAAAAATATCAAAAAACATTAATATCCAATAACATTAATAGCAAAACTATATCCAAAAGTTTTAGATTTTGTTATATATCTGACTCAAAAATAATATTTATAATATTAATTATAATATCAATAATAATATTTATAATACAAATAATAATATTTTTAATAATAATAATAATATTAAACTTGTCTAATATAAGTTCTTATAGTTTTTTATCTATCGAAATCAAATTTATGGTTTTTATTTGATAATAATAATATTTTTAAAAGAATTATTAATGATAATGATAATAATAACAATAAGAATAGGAATAGAAATAATAAGAATAACACTAATGATTATAAACTTGGATCTGCACCCAATCAGACTTAAGTTTCTAAGGTTTGTTCCCTAATAAGAATAAAAATAATAATATTAAACTTGTTTTATCCATATTTTTATAGTTTTCAATAAATTCAAATCAAATCTATGATTTTTCTTCAATGGTAATAATAATTTTTTAAAATTTAATAATCATAAAAATAATAACAATATTAATAATAACACTAATAATCATAATAAAAATAAAATTAATAACAATATTAAGAATAAAATTAATAATCATAATAAGAATAACAAAGACAATGACAATAACAATGATAACAACAATAATAATAATTTTAAATTTTACCCTTTAAATTAAATCTATAGTTTTTTTTCAATAGTAATAATATTTTTAAAAATTTTATTAATAATAATGACAATAATAATATTTATAATATTAAATATGTCTAACTCAATTTCTTATACTTTTTAATTTTACCCTTTAAATCAAATCTATGGTTGGTTTCTAATATTAATAATATTTTTTAAAAAATTTATTCATTACTATATTAGAAATATTCATAATAGTAAAAATAATAATAATTTTAATATTAATAAATATAACAATAAACTTACATGACTCAAGTTTAAATGGGTTTGGCTGCAACGTTAGGCTCAAGAACCTTGGGTTTAGTAGCAACATCAAACTTGAAAGCCTTGGATGTGGGTCTAGCTGCAAGATCGTATTATGAAAGTATGATAACTAAATAGAAAAAAAATAATATTAAAGAATAAAATAAAAAATAATTAAAAAGAAAAAAAAAAGCAAAGCACTAATCTAATGAATAGTGCTTTGCAATGAGGGGTACTGTAAAATCTCCTCATGAGATCACAATAATATAATGAAAAGTAAATAAAATAAATTATAAAATTTAATTCTTAATAAAATCGATATTTAAAGAAAAATTAGAAGGAAAAAACTAATTAAAAAAATATGAATCATTTGGGTTAACCTGTCAAATGTAAGATCTGTGTTATGAAAATGTAATAACTAAATAAAAAAATTTAATATTAATAAACTAAATAAAATTAATTAAAAACAAAAAAAAAATATAACTAAAAGTATTAGCCTTTTCATTATAGATTATATAGAATAATTCATAGTAAAGGAATAATCTCTTTTCATTATAATTAATGTTTTATTTCTGGTGTATATCTGAATTACCTCCATTGAGATTTATGAGGTGTCCCATATTCTATGTCTCAATTGACCCTCTAAGTTTAAGAGAAAAATCTCAATCAAGCATCCATTTCTCAATTATATTAAAAATTCAAGAAAAACAATTATGGCACGCGCTGAAACACCTTGAGGGGAAAAACACAGCAAACTTAATATATTATATTTTAACACTGTTCACGGCCAATTCAACAAAATGAAATGGGGGTTCGTATATATAAAAAACAATTCCCCTAGTTACTTGCATGTGAATTCCATAGTTTACACTTGCATGTGAAATGGGGGTTCGTATATATAAGTCAGAGGTTTTGAATCCTGAACCCTATGATCGAGATTTTTCAATATTTTTTTAATTATATTTTTTTTATTTAGCAACATTTTATTTATTATAGATTAAACTACAACTTAAAAAATTTTCTTTTTTTTATTTTGTTTTATATACAGTTATTGTATTCTAATTTAATTTATTAAAAATTAATTTTTAAATTTTTTTCTAGTTAACCCAATTAAATTGAAATTTTGTTTTATTTTTTAATTTTTTCTTTCAGCATTAAAAATAAGTATAGATCAGATTCTTTTTATCTTTTTTATGTTATTTTTTTGGTCAATTTATCTATCATTGTTTTTTTATTATTTTTTTGTTAATATTATTTAAATAATCAATTGGACCTGTGATTCAGGGTATAGAACTTCTTTTTTTTTCTGAACAATTTTTTATGTTGAAATTTTCACGGCGGAACATATCTAGTTATGATGCTAAGCCTTTGGTAAGATGGTTAGTATAAAACCATTTCATTGTCTTTAACCCGAGGAAAAGGCACCCAATTCCTGACTACAAGTAGCCACAAAAGTACCACCACTAATGCTTCATGACACCACCCTTTCTTTTTTATACCAAGTTTCTTTTGCGACGTCGCATGATTCAAGAAAAAAGGCACCATGGAAACATAGAATTCTCAAACCAATGGCATGAAGACAGGAAAATCAAACATAAGAGAAGTCTTAGAACATAGGGCTTCAATCTATTCAACTGTCAGACTCGTATCCAGAGTCTACCATCATTGGCTGTGGGTTCTTGTTCTTGTAATCATTGACTTGCGATTTATACCGTTGTTTATCATCTCGAGCCATTTCTTCGTACGGTTCTTTCTCCTCCGCTGCCATTTGAACAGGTAAGAACAAACGGTGAAATATTTTTAATATTGGCGAGATACCTGGGGCATAACCTAAAAAAACAAAAGCAAACCTGACATAGCATTCCACTTGTCCGCAAGTGCTTTTGTAATCTCCCCAAACACAATTCCTGGGTTACTTTTCTTCACATTCTTTTGCCAAACACAATAATATAATTAGCATACCCAAAACAAGCAAAGAGAAAATCATGACCAGAGATTATTTCAATGGAACAGCAATGAACCCACCTCCCATTCCATTTGCGAGAAGAACATGTAGGCAGATTTTGATCTCTTCGGTGCATTGGGATCCTTCTTCTTTTTTGGTTTTCTCTTCTTTTGGCTTTCCTCTCCATCTCTGCTTTTCCTCTTTGTAACAGCCTTGGAAGATGAAACCTCCCTTTTAAAATCCTTTTTTCCAGAGTTCTGCAATTGGCCATTATTTGGAAATATAATCAATCGAATTACCATATAGCAAATCCTCTTCAATAGGGCACGAAGGTAAAGGAAAATAAATGCATTGCCTCTTTCTCATCTCCACTTTCACTGGCATCAGATTCTTCCTCTCCAGAATCATCAGTAGGAGAACCTCCATCATCCTTCCCGAGGACGAAATCTTCATCCTGCGACATCACCATGCTTAGATTCAATTGCATAAATGCAAAACTGTTAGATCTCAATAGAGGCATAGGAAAACTGTAGAAAATGGAGTGCAAACAAGAGTGGTGCACATAACGCTATGTATTTACATGAAGTGAACCCTGCAATTAAAAGATACTGTAGCTACAAGCTTGCAGGAGATGCAGCACAAAATTCAAAAATAGAGAAAAGAACTTGCCTCTTCATCGCTCTCATCATCACCAGCTTCATTTCTAATGCGTGCAAGATGTGGATCAACAGCATCATCATCATCATTCTGAAGAACAGCAGCCACTCCTTTTGTGGTCTGCATATCTCCCAGGTTCATAATTTTCATGCCCTTCCCACTGTATGATTAAATGAAAGGTAAAGCCATTGAAAACAGTGTAAAATCAAACTGTCAGGTGAGAAATAAACCAAACCTTATGAAGTCAAAAAGATTATGATATTCATTCCTCTGGATGTTCCGAAAAAGATGCTCTTGTTCTGTTTTAAGTCTTATAAGAAGATCAAAGTAATGCATATTTGAGCCACCAGCAGCATGCCTCTCAAATTCAACATAGTCAATCTTGTATGACGAAAGACCAAAAAAAATAAAACAAGCATGTACAAAACCAATTGAAATATATCATATGCATATCAAAGAACTAATCAGGAACAAAATTTGCAGAGCTATACCTCCTCATGAAGAATGAGGGTTGGAGGTTTGGGTAAGAAGAAGAAGCCCTTCTCAAGTGGGTACAGGACACCATCTTCAGCTTTCAGCGATGACTTCACAGCATAACCATCTTGACAGCTACGGAATTTTCCTGGTCTAGTAACTTTGGCACTAGACAATCCACGCAATATAGTGGTGAACACTTCATGAATAAGTCCCTATTTATCCACAACACAAATAAATTTTATATGCAAACTTGCAAGCCAATCTCTTCTAGATTAAAATATCCACATCACAAGAGATGATTACCTTCTTGAAAGAAGAAGAAGAATACATGAAGCATGATCGAATCAGAATGTAACTAGGTTATTACCTTGTAAGATGGCTCCAACTTGTCCTTGTACTTTGTGTACAAAAGATCTTCACTCATTGACAACTTGCTTTGAACTACAAAGTCAGTGTCAAACTGTACAAAATAGAATAATGAATGCCAAACACATCTAAAAACACAAACTGATGTTCAAATGTAATACAATCAATAACACCTGCAACACGATATGCGGGTATAGAGTTTGCCCTTTACGGATGGGTGGATCAAGAGTCACGACAACAAAGGTGTGTGGCTGGTTAAACTGTAAAAAATCAATCAAGCTCACATTAGATTCCATTAGCAATCATTTGATAGCATTTGGTTATTGTCTCAAGATAAAAGAGACAGACAATAAGGACAAAAATGGGTTTGGTTGAAAAGATAGGGACAAAAACATAAAATAAGTCCATCTTTTGGACAGTTTTGGAGTGGATTTCTATACAAAAAGTACAAAGAGACATGTCCTCTTGTACCCTTTGTCCCACTATCTCCGTCTCTCTTATCCCGAAATAGTAACTAAATGCTACCTTTCATGAACATGATTGATTGAAATCATACCAAGGCTCTAAGGAAATCATCATTTGAGACATACATATGCTTATATAAGTGGACAGGTAATTAAAGCAAACCTTTGGAAGCAAAAAGAGGCGGACAACACTGCTATACTGGATTTTGAAATCATTAGCCTGTCCTTGAAGCCGCAGGAAAGACAAATGAAGTTCAACACTGTACCGACCCCTAAATTGAAAAATAGTTTTACAAGTCACATATGTATATATAAAAGAGTAGCATTAAAGAACCAGCAGATGACATGGATTCAGTTATGCTTTTGCATGGAAGTACATGGGTGAGCATGCAAGCATGCATGGGAGGGTGGATGGGGGATCAGGGTCTGCGATTTCTACCTTGGTGTGAGGATTGCAATGCCCTCAAATGTAACAACAGCTTCTTCACCTCCAGCACCAACATCTGCCTTCTGCACAATTAGGTCACGGAAAACCTAAAAAAAAATCAATTGACAAGAAATCAGTAGATACATAGGACATAAAAAAGACAATTGTCATAACAAGGAAGAAACTCACCTGAGCAGGAGGATGATTTTCATCACCAATATATTGCGTATTGTTATTAGGTATGTGAAAACTTAGCTCCATCAACGAATCTTTCTGTAAACATAACAAAATATAATTACTAAATGATAGCATCAATCCTAAACAAGAAAATATAAATGCAGAACCATTATTTTCTACTAGGTACTTAATGCAATTCTGCAATGAAGAAAACAAGAATGTGATAGAGGTAACCCCTGCATATAATTCTGGATTGTGGACCCATATGCATGAAATGTAGCCATATGACTTGCACCGTTCAGAAAGGACAAATAGCACCATAAACAGACCTCATTTGCTCCAGTAGTATCATCCACATGGAACTCCAGGATGACATCATTTTTCCCTTGCATCTGTGTCTGTGAAACATCTGCTAAAGATACCTCAAATGCTTGCTTCGAACCAACCAAAAATGTAAGCATATTTCCTACAAATGATTGGAAGATGTAAGCCAATAGCACAATAAAGAAAGAATAAAAGAATCTCATACCACTAAAGAAGCTAACTACTGTCATAAACAACAAATGCTATAAAGAAAACTAAAGGGTGCAAGACAATCCAGCAACTAGGCAAGTCCAAAAACGTTACCCACCATTTAAGTCAACTTCTCCCCAGTTACGACCACTGACAGATAGCTGCTTCTCTTCTGGTGTTATTCCATGGCTTTGGAAAAAATTGGTCAAGGTAGGTAAGTCCTAAATGGCCAACAAAAGATGAGCAAGGTAAGAAATCACAAACTATAAACATCAAACTTACAAGGAAAAAGGAAATTGAAAACTTCAGTAGAAGTTGTAACTAATGAACGGTCACTGACATGCACCAGGGCTATTGTGATCATTTAACAGACCCACAAACTACATACACAGAAGCTTAAATGTGATGAGAAGTTCATGAAGCCATGCAGGTAGGGATAAGCTAGGTTCCAAGGCGGATCAATATGTTCAAAGTTTGAGAGGAAACGCCATAAATTACCTTGATTTCCACTCAAATTGAATACACACTCTCTGAACATCAAGACAAATGCACAAATAACTTCTGACTATAAAAATATGATAACAAGGACATTGGAGAAAAACCTGATCACGAAATCCAGTAAACTTGTACCAGGGCCCACCTTTGATTAGAACACTGAGTTGATTTGTCCTTGGGACCTTCATCCATGTCACTCCAAGAATGTCAGCTCTATCAACTTCAACTGCCTTACCACCCCCTTGTTTCTTCCATAGAATCCCCCCTGGAGATATCTTAAGGTGTCCAGGGTTCTGAATTTGACAATATGAACATATATGAGATTCCAATTTTCAATTCTCTTTCTTGCTCTCCATTCGAAAAAATAGACTCCAAATTTTACGAGGCATTTCAACAAATTAGGGTAACAATACCATGAAATCACTAACAAATCACATATAAATAAAGCCTCAAATCTGAAAAATTAGTGTATCGATACCAAAGGTATCATATTGACTATAGTAGGGTTTAAACTTAAGAAATGGTTATTATAAAACCACTATTTCATGTATCCATACTAACTTTTCTTAGAAACCCGTCAAACCTAAACCTTAAATCGCTTCTTCTTTTTTTAATAATCTTTTACGATTGTTTACCAATTATTCATAATTTGTTCAATACTCCAAATACGAATTAGCCAACTGATTAGGGTTTCGTGTACAACAATCTACGCACATGATTTTCTAACCCAAAACACAAACAAAGTAGGAATTAGAATAAAATTAGCGTCTCAAAAAGCAGAATTGAAATACAAAAACAGAAAAGAGAAGGAATTAGGGTTCAAACAAGGTATGGTTTCAAAATCGAAGAGTAAAAGTAATAAATTCAAGAGAGAAAGAAGGTAATTACAGTGCCTCCACGGCCTCCGAGCAAGATATTATTGAAGAGATGACCGTCCGTCATTGCTCCTGCAAAACTTTTATTCAGAGAACAGAGAGAGAAAGTGTGTGCGCGCGCGCACGAGTTTCTGCCATTTGGGAGGGATTTTCTTGTCTTTTAAATCGGGAAGGCATGAACGCAGAGACTTCCGTACCCTTGGATTTGAGCGCCAAATTGGTGATCGCTGTTTTCTTTCTTTGTGTGCCGCGTGGGAAGGAAGATAAAAACAAAAGCCTATGGTGGCAAATTACATGTATTTTTTTTTTATTTGAAGATTTTAATTTGATTAATTATACTTGCAAAATTTCTTAGATTATACAAGTTTTATTACCCCAATATTGATGTGGTAATTATATTATTTTAATATTTTTTTAGAGATAATGATACCATGAAATTCTTATATTTTATGATTTTTTTAATTTTTCTTACCAAGATATATATAGATATTTTTGTTAGATATATCTAATACATGCAATGAAAAAAATGGGTGGTCATTTATATGAATCTCGTGATTATGTAGTCATGTAATCCACAATGAAAAAGATAAATCTTAGGAAGTTAAAAAATCAGGTTTGATAAAAATATGACATAAAAATTATCTAAATCAAAGTATCAATATTATTGGTATGAACCCCCAATCAATGATTAATAAATCACGAACGAAAAGTATTATGAAGAATGCCACGAAATTAGTTATACTCTAGTAAGTTCAATTGTTTTTTGTTTAAATAAAGAGAAAAATATGTTGTTCTATGCAAAACACCAATTTTATTCAATAATCTATAGTTGTTAAATTTTGGAGCAAAGAAAGCAATATATAGTCCTCCTAAATAACCCTAATTAAAAAATAGGATGTTAAAATTTAGACTTTAGAATGATTAAGATTTAACCTAGTAAGGTAAAGACTTTACTATGAAGAGAGATCTATCTTGAACATTAAAAAAAACCAACGAATAAAAACTCGACTTAGAAAAAATAATCAAATAATAATGCAGCTTATCTTAGATAGGGTGTACTGGATGTAATGCATCTTCCCCTTGCATAATTAATCCCAGACTCTTGCAGACCATAAGTTCTTAGTAACCATAATACAAGGTGATGACTTTGACATGACCAAAAGATTGATGTCTTCTCCCAAGTGTAGGAGTATCGAAATAATAAATAACCCGGCAAGACCGAGGTCGAACCACAGGAAGGTTAATTATATAAATTATAAACAACAATAATATAACGACAACAATAATAATAGTAACAATACTAATAGTAGTAGTAGAAGAAGAAGAAGAAGAAGAAGTTGATGAGAACTTTGAGACGAAAGATTAATGAAAGGATTAAACAATGATAACAACAAATGTCAAGGTTAGATGATCCACTAATGGTATGTCAAACAAATATAGTATAAACTCTTATTACTCAATTGGAAACCACACACAAAGGAGGTTCTAATTAGATTATAAATTGTTAACATGATTACATTAGTTATCTTATTCGATTAATGCTAATACTTGTAAATGTTATTAGGTATTCATGATTATAACTTATGTTAACAACAAATCAAGTTCCTTTCATAGCATAAAAGTCGGTTATACCATACAATATGGGTTATAAAAGTGCCAAGCATTTGTTGTACCAAGTGTTATACAATATAAATCTAGATTAGTCATTTAAAATGCAGGCCTATCACATAAATGAAAGGATTGATTGATGAGTTTAAGAACTAAAATTAAAAGGACAAAAAGATGGTCAAACTTAGAAAAGAGATGTTGGTGCAGTCCAAACCGGAACACTATTCGGTAATTGAGTCATATCTGAAGTTGTAGATCTCAGATTTAGGTCTACTTTATATGGATGAAAAGGTATATAACTTTCATATGGAACCCAAGATTTAAAAAGGTCATTTAAGTCCAAATTATAGCAACAATGAAGAATTTTGAATCTGTCCTGTAGCCTGAACATTGTTCAGTGTTTGACCCATATCTGGAGTTCTAGAATCCAAATGACATTTTTTTTTTCTTGGAAAGCTGATACAATTTCCTACAACTTTTATGTTTTCAAGTAGTTCTAATTCTAAAGTTATCAATGACGTTTTGGGCAGACAAGAGAAGATAAGGATTGTCACCAAGTCA